GTGCAGCCTGCTGTGGGTGACCCTGCTTGGGCAGGGGGTTGGGCTGGGTGACCCACAGTGGTCCGTTCCAACCCCTACTATTCTGTGATTCTGTGATTACTTAGAACTATGTGATACATGAGGTTGTAACTACAGGGCAGGGTGGGGGGTGAGTTGCTGTTGACTTTTTTTGCCTTTCGGAACTAAACGAGCTTGCCCCTAGGTGTATGTAGTGGTTGGAGGCAGAGGAAGGAGCAGATAAACCCAATGATCTGAATTTCCAGCCCCCAGCAAGGGGAGGTGGTGACTGGTTCTGCTGACAGTGCCCTGATGGAGACCCGTCCCTTGCAAGGCTGGAGCATGACTTCACGTTTGGGCTAGTGAAATGTGTTTCACCCCCCACATTATTGGTCCAGCATTCAGCATCATGTGAGCCTTCTCCAGCACTTGGTTTTGACTTGCTTGATACATTTTCCATACGGTAAATTCAGTGTACAGCATTGTTTGCCCTTTTCTGGAACACTTATGAGCATGGTGAACATCATGTTCATGTAGGGCCTCTCTGAGAACTTCAGTTGTTGTGAAAACAACAATTTCCTATCTGTTGTTGAACCAGTTAGTAAGATGCAAGGACAAGTTCCTTCTTATCCCATGTCACCGTAAACCTTGAAGAACTCCAGCTGAGAGATCTTGCCACATCCCTCATGGAAGTCTGGGTGTTCTGTCAGCCAGATCGTCTTTCCCCGTGTGCTGCTTGGTTGCTTGGGGGAAAAATGAGATTTGTGAAGAGTGATTGCATTATATTTGTCTAGCAGTCTTCTGACTTGCGTTTCTCATAACTTTAGCAGATTTTTCTGGTTTAAAGTTAAAAATATTCTGCAGTTACCTCGATGTTTCTTTAGAGCCTTTTAAAAAACAAACAAGAAAGTAATTAAATCTTTTTTAATTGCTTTCATATTCTTTTTAGGCAAAGAAACTGCCCTTACTTCATTTATTTATTGCGTATCTTTTCCCTTTCTTCTGCAAGTACGACTTAAGCAATTATTATGAAAATTTTGGACATGTAGAATGTTAATCTGGAATCATAGGACTCAAAAGGATTTCTTTTCTGTGGCTTTTGAGTAAACATTTGGGATTAATTCTCAAGATTTAATGACCAAAACTGGGTCTTTCACTTGCTTAGAAAACCGTGTATAACTCTAGCTTTTGAATAATCTTCACCATGATGCCAAGAAGGCCAATGGGATCCTGGGGTGCATCAAGAGGAGTGTGGCCAGCAGGTCGAGGGAGGTTCTCCTCCCCATCTACTCTGCCCTGGTGAGGCCCCATCTGGCGTCCTGTGTCCCGTGCTGGGCTTCACAGTT